GAGTCGGCCCTCATGATTACTATCATGACGAATAAATCAGGGTCGATCTTGCTGGCAATGCTTTGCCAACGGTGCACAAGTCGAGTCGCATTCTGCTCTAGAGTACGGGTGACCGAGAAGACTGTGACTCGTTCGGGGACATCGACGAGTTTTACTTGCCACGCAAGTATCACGCCGAAACTCGAGCCTCCTCCGCCCCGGACGGCCCAGAAAAGATCCTCGCCCATCGACTGCCGGTCGAGAATTCTGCCGTTTGCATCGACTATTCTCGCGTCGATCACGTTGTCGGCGGCGAGGCCGTATTTACGGAGTAACCTTCCATATCCGCCTCCGCTTATATGCCCGCCGGTGCCAACGGTCGGGCAAATCCCAGCGGGAAACCCGAGCACCGGGCTTCGTTCGGCGATTCGGTAATATAAGGAGCCGAGAGTCGCGCCCGACCCGACCCATGCAGTCTTCGACTCGGGATCAACCGATATCTCGCTAAGGTTGATTAAGTCGAGGATTAAGAACGGGACTTGGGATACGTAGGATAAACCTTCGTAATCGTGGCCCCCGCTTCGGATTCTGATCTCCATGTCGTTTTCTCTGGCGCAGTGGACGACAGGCGGGACTTGGGACTCGTGTTCGGGTGTTATAATTACTTGGGGTCTCGGGGTCGATTGAGAAGTGAATCTAAGGTTATGGATGGAAAATCGGAGGATGGATGCGTAGGATGAGTTGTTTGGGGTATAAGTCACGTTGGAAATCGAGTTGTGGTATCGTTCGGTAAGACATTCGAGAAAATCTTCGTGATCGTTATCAGCAACGGCTGTTAACGAGCACGAAGAGATGATGACAAGAAGAATGAATATGAAAGTAGAAAGGATTAATGGACTCTTCATGATGATGTGAGTTTATCAACCATGGAATTGATTTGTGTTTTGGTTGGCATTATTAGATTGCGTCTTATTTATAGTTTTATGAACTGAGAAAAATTGATACCAATAGATGTATGTTAAAGTCAAATGGTCAGTGTTTGCTACCTAGACTTTAAAAAAAAAATAAATAAATAAATAAATATTTACCTTGCTGATTCAAGCCTCCATACATGGATAAATATGTATAGAAACTTCTCCAAGTTGAAAGTCTAACATTGAAAATTGCAATGTACTGTATCTTGTGAATATTTGTTCTGTATTCTGCAGAAAGATGAAATATATTCTAAGATTCAATAATTTGATATGAGGAACTAATGAACTCAATTACTTAATGTCATTATTTTTCAGTTTTCTGTTGAGGTCTGTCTTGTAAAGGTACTCAAATTGAATTAGTCATCGGTTGTTCGCCAATAAAAGGTAGTTGGAAGTCGTTCATCTTCGATAAAAGTAATTTCATTTATTAATCGAGTCGATCTTGAAAAAAATAAAAAAATAAAAAACTAGATTCTTTTGTCATCTAACGAACACGAACTTCATTCGTTGATATTTGATAAAATTCGCGAGAATTAATTGATTTATTTTGTTTAATTATTATAACTATATGTATAAATTCTTTTGTCATCTAACTATATTTTGTACAATTACACGTACACAAATTTGAAGAATAAAACAAAGGGAACACAACTCAAACCAAGATTAACAAAAGTAAACGAAGGAAAAAAAATTAAATCAGATGGAACTTCTGTGACATGATTACAATAAATAAAAAAAAAAATCTACAAAATGAGACCCGAAAACGCCGTAATGGCTACGGCCCATATTGTGGGCAGCCCAAATGGAATTCTAAGCAGTGCAGTCCATTTAGTTGTGTATTAAAATAATAATTAACAATAATAATAACTATTATTATTTTTTAATATATTTTAGTCGACAATTTGAATCATTAACAATTAAACCAAGCCCACATCAAACTTTCAAATTCTCATGGCAATTTTAAAGATGTTGAATTGAGGGTTTTTTGTTTCTTTGTTTGGTGGTCTGAGAATATATTGTTTGTCAGGAATTAAAAATTTGAGTGTTGAACTTAAGTTGTGCATCCTTTATTATTATTATTATTATTATTATTATTATTATTATTATTATTATTATTATTATTATTATTATTATTATTATTATTATTTTAAGTCCAAAATCTTACTTTTTGCTTACAGGTTTTATGTAATTGCTTATTATCCTGGGTGTGAGAGATTGCTATAGGGATAGAATTGAGAATAAATGATACAGTTTTATTTGGTCAAGTCTTCACTGTGGAAATGAACATATATATATTACTCGGTTTTGTTATAGAGTCATCGGATGACTCGGATTAGAAGTCATCCACAGTTATCCATAAGTGATGTATTGATATGTGTCCTACGATAAATACACCTTAGACACGTGTAAATACAATAAAGTTATGGATGACTCCATAGAATGACTGATATACTACTCCAGGATAAAAAAAAAAAAAAATGTAAAATATATTGCCTCTCTTGGAATTAAGATTAGATAACCTCGATTAGTATTCATCAATGGCAACTTTCCTTTTCGAGAAGCTTATATACATATTTATCCCGGTATGGAGGCTCAAATCAACAAGGTAAACTTAAAAAAAAAAAAGTCAAATAAAGGTGGCAAAGCAAATTGGACACTATAAATTGGACACAATCCAATCCAATACTCCCCAAAAAACACAAAGCAAATTCATTTTTTCACAAACTCGTATCATCATGAAGAGTCCAATAATTCTTTCCACTTTCATATCCATTCTTCTTCTCACCATCTCTTCGTGCTCATCAACAAACGATCACGAAGAGTTTCTCGAATGTCTTACCGAACGATACCACAACTCTATATCCAACGTGACTTACTCCCCAAACAACTCATCCTATGCATCCATCCTCCGATTTTCCATCCATAACCTTAGATTCACTTCCCAATCGACCCCGAGACCCCAAGTAATCATAACTCCCGAGCACGAATCCCAAGTCCCTCCCGTCGTCCATTGCGCTAGAGAAAACGACATGGAGATCAGAATCCGGAGCGGGGGCCACGATTACGAAGGTTTATCCTACGTATCCCAAGTCCCGTTCGTAATCCTCGACTTAATCAACCTTAGCGAGATATCAGTTGATCCCGAGTCGAAGACTGCATGGGTCGGGTCGGGCGCGACTCTCGGCTCCTTATATTACCGAATCG